CTAAACAAATCACAAATTGGCTTCTTACCAAAACAACGGACATCTGACCATATTTACTCCCTTCATACTTTAATAAATAAAAACATAAAGAACAAACAAAGAAAGATTTTCTCTTGTTTTGTTGATTTTAAAAAAGCTTTCGATTCTATTTGGCATGACGGACTATTATACAAATTGTTGCAAATTGGCATTGGTGGAAAAGTATATAGCATTATAGAAGCCATGTATAAGAAAAGTAAATGCGCTGTAAAAGTTGGAAATATGAGAACAGAGTTTGTCCAGCAGAGTCGAGGGGTGCGGCAGGGTTGCAGCCTGAGCCCAACCCTGTTTAACATCTACATTAATGATCTGGCAGACATTCTAGACGGCTCCGACTGCATCCCCGGCCTCACTCTGCTTGACTCTAAAGTAAAGTGCCTGCTGTATGCAGATGACCTGGTGCTGCTGTCTCCCACAGCAGAGGGTCTCCAACACAGCCTGACTCTGTTGGAGCAGTACTGTGAGGAATGGGCACTGACGGTCAACCTGGACAAAACCAAAGTCATGGTGTTCCAGAAGAAGGCCAGATCTCAGGGACACAAATATCAATTCACATACAGAGGAGAAACTCTAGAGCATTGTAGCAGTTACTCATACCTGGGCATCCAGATCTCTGCCTCTGGGGGCTTCAATCTCGCTGTCAAGACCCTGAGCGAGAGGGCTCGCAGAGCATTCTATGCCATAAAATCACGCTTTGGCCAATTACAGTTACCAACTAAAACATGGATTAAATTATATCACGCTATTATCAAACCTATATTACTATATGGGAGTGAAATTTGGGCACCAGTATTAAAATTAGAAAATTGGAATAAAAGTTTAATTGAACGAACACAATTAGAATTTGCTAAAAACATATTACATATTCACAGAAACACGTCTAACATTGCCTGCAGGGCTGAACTGGGTTTAAACCCGCTAAATTTGGAGATTCAGAAACGAGCTGTTCAGTTCTGGCTGCACCTGCATCAGTCGGACCCCCAGTCTGTCCAATATAAAGCCCTTCTGGCTAATGAAAAACCTACAGTGTCTCATCCTCTAAACACACTGGTATCTGAGCTACTGAAACAAGCACAAACCGAACCCGTCCCCAAACAAAACCTTCACAAACAAATTGACAAAACATTAAAATATAACTATGATGAAAAACTGAAAACTGAATTCAACCTCCAGACTAAACTTAAATGTTATTCGGCCCTAAATAGAACCACACAGTTGGCAAATTATTTATCATTAAAACAATTAAAAGAAAAGCACATTCTTTCCAAATATCGCCTCTGTGATCATGACCTAGAAATAGAAAAAGGCAGACATAAAAAATCCTGGACTCCTAAGGAAAAGAGAATATGTAAACAGTGTGACACAAAGCAAATAGAGGATGAGACACACTTCCTTCTGTTCTGCCCCAAATACAGCACGACTAGAGAAATATTTTTCCCCCAATTTGAAACATTGATCAATTCATTTTTTAATTTAAATGACTCAGAAAAACTTTACTATATACTCGGAGAGGACGAATTGACATTTGAACTGGCTGCAAAATATGTATACACCCTACACACCATAAGAAACGGTTAATGTAAATTTGTGTCTTATTTAAATAATTTAAACTTTTTACTATTATTATTATTTTATTTATCAAATGTATTGTTTTTTTTTGTGTCATTATATCTTATTTGTATTACTATTAATTATTATTTTCAATGGTTTTAATATGTTTCATATTTGAAATGCTTTGGCAATACTGTATTTAATGTCATGCCAATAAAGCAACTTGAACTGAACTGAACTGAACTGAGAGAGAGAGAGAGAGAGAGAGAGAGAGAGAGAGAGAGAGAGAGAGAGAGAGAGAGAGAGAGAGAGAGAGAGAGAGAGAGAGAGAGAGAGAGAGAGAGAGAGAGATAGACAGGGGGCTGAAATTGATCTGCTGGTAAATGCTGCAGCTTTATTCCTCTGAGGAAAAGCAGGAAGTGAAAACCTGCTGCTCTAATGGCAGTCGAGCACTTACACTAAAAACATTTCAGAAATAACACACAAACTCTACTCAGCGATGCTCTTGTTAGTCTTCTGGTCACAAAATGCACTTAAATGATTGGTATAAATGCTGACCCATACATGCAGAATTTAAACATCTAAATTAAACAAATTCAAATAGATTGTTATTGTTAATTGCCCCATCCCAACTCTATTTTTGTACCCCTACCCTAACCCTTTCCCCCTTGGCCCTTGAAACAGTGTGTGAAGAGGAAGGGCTTCAAATTTTACCCCTTAGAAACGGGACAGCACCAGCACATGTCATCAGATGTCATCGCAATCTCTTGCTTCATATGAGATCAGACGATCGTAGTTATTCCAGTTGCATTATTTTTTGGTATTTATCTTCAGGAAATCACTGAAAGCAATAATATCATGTTATTATTATAGCAGACACTGTAAAAAGGTCATTCCCAGCCACTAGACTTTTCTGACAGGGTATTCGAGTGTCACTGAGTGTCAGAATGTAAAAGTATGTTGTGGGACTGCTGTACAGGAGTTATTATTAGGAATTATAAATTCTGTTTTTTTATTTTGTTTTTTATGGCTTTTATGTTTTTTTTAAAGCATGACTGTAAATCATGCGGTTATTAATGTATTTTAAAACATGTGCTTGTTTGTTTTTAAAATTCATAATAATGACAAAAAATACTAATTTGTGCATTTCCTGACTTCCTGGTGCAGCCAAGCTGCCGTTCTAGCTGGTGTATTCTGGGAAATTTTCTTACCCCTTGGTTTCGAGTGTGGTCCTGAAAAATCTTCGTTTCAACCCCTTAACACTATGCCTTTAGGCTAAAAAGAATTACAACACCCCTACTCCTTCACGTGAACGCACAAAATGAAGGGTAAGGGCAAGGACTAAGGGGTAGAATTGAGATTAGGCCTCAGTTTCATTCATTTTGTTTATATTAACATTTACTTTTTTTCAATATAAAATAGTGACAAAAAAGCCTTAACATCTTGTGTTTGACAAATAAACAGATGTTCCTGAATGAATCAGCATTTCTGAACGATTCTGTTGAATGAATGATTCAATCACTCACTCAGTGTTTTCATTCTTTAACTAATCAGCTTTTCTGAATGTATCAGTTTAATCAGTTTAATGAGTAATGCAAACTTGCATGGTGGCGCAGAGCAAGAAGGTCACTGGTTCGATTCTCGGCTGGGTCAGTTAGCATTTCTGTGTGAAGTTTGCACATGAAGGGTGTGTACAGTGTTTTGTAGGTTGTAGGATGCTAGGCTACTAACATTGCTGTCACTCTAAAACAAGTTTTATTTATAGAAAAATTTACAAAGCATATGGAATAAATCACTGTCATAAATATTTTGAGCATAAATAAAATTCACGCATACGTTATATACATTATAAAATCATAAAGGAAAACGGAATGTACTCGTAATTTTACAAGGGTACAATTCCAAAATCTGCGATTAGAACAGACACAGATATTATAGTTAAGTGTTCAGTGATTCACTCATACTGCGCTCGCTGCCTGTAATGTTAACTTACATTATGCTAGCTCACTATCCTCGGCCCATCCTTTTTTTTGTAAAATGTCCAAGAAACACAGTGAAAATGGACCTCATTAAGTCTCATCCTTTATTACAGCTCATGACGGACATTTCTCAAAGAGGGAATAACAAAACTCTTACCTGATCGATGACTCTCGCCTGTGACAGTGGTGACGTAATTTTGACAGTGGAGTGTCGCTGTTGATTCGTACTCGTAATCAGGACTTTGTGTCCGTGGTAAAACAGTGTTTCGTGCTTGTAAAGTACACCCATCGTGAATTTATCAGTTATATACAAACAGACAAAGAAAATGTCGTAAGTGTGTCTGTTCTAATTGCAGATTTTGGAATTGTACCCTCGTAAAATTACGAGTACGTTCCGTTTTCCTTTACGATTTTATAATTACGGATGCATGAATTTTATTTACGCACGAAATATATATGACAGTGATTTTATTCCATAAAGCACTGCAGTTTTTGGATGTTCTGTGTTTGTCTAGAGATAATTAGTTTACTGAAATGTGTATATTCCATACAAGCTGAAGCTGATCGGTCAATTCTTGTCATGTGACTCACGGTGCACTCGCTTCACGCCATTAGTGCGGGCAAGACGTGCACCTACATTGGAATCAACAAACGTGCGTGAACTCTAGAACGTCAGTAATATGCAAATTTGACGTATGACGTAATCTAATGACATTTAGTGACTTTTTGGGCAGAGCCTAGCACCCTTTTATTGAAAATAGTTGGCAACATTGGCTTCGTCCCTGCCTTTGTCCTCGGCAGCCGTAGCTCGATCTACAAACTTTCGATTCAAGCTACAGATAGGGCCTCCGCCAAAGAAATCCTGTATTGTTACATTATTTTTTTTTTTTGTCAAATGATACTCATCAAATAAATACAATTCAAAATCATATTTATCTCCCTGGTCTTTCTGGTAGAACTATAAAGAAAAATCTTGTCCTGAAATACTTGGTATGGGATCGGAAAGAACATTACTGGTATCCCCCTTCCTACTATTGAGCAGTTTTGGTGCAGCTAACAACTAAATGTAGCTGTGACAGCAAGGAAAGGCACAGCCAATAACACTGTAGGACTCAAATAGAGAATGTTATTGAACCCTTTCTGCATATCTATATTCATAAGAGTTGACAGAGTGCGTTATTTTATTTTGGAGGGGATTAAATTATTGGTGGGGACAATTTAATAAATGTTGCTGGTATTTTCGCCCTTGCATTTAGCAGCTATTGGAATGCAGCTCACAGCTGGTTCATATTATACAACTTCTCAGTTTAAAACAAAACAATAAATCAGATATTATAAAAGGGACGATTCTGACTGGATGAGTGACTGTGAAACAACAGACATTAGCAGTATGTTTTGTTCCTTATTATTATTGTTTGTTCCTCTCTGCAGGGTGGAGAACACTGTTATTACCATGGGAAAGTGCGTGATGTTCCTAAGTCATATGTGGCGCTTTCGACTTGCCACGGATTACAGTAAGTCCCTCTGTTGATGAGCTTCATGTCTGAATGAACACACAAACACACACGAGTTCACCAACGCAGCCTGACGCCGCTTACTTACAATTGCCCACAGAAGTGTCTCTTTCAAAGACACATTCATAAATAAGCACATGTTAGCGGGCCAAAGCTGCGATTATCCCATTCAACAATTAGAGCTGTATAATTACGGCATGCTATTATCCTCCTCTCATATAACACACTGATAATCTCAGTCTGCTTGTGTGTACCGTTTTTCTCTCCTGCACCATTAATGTAATACTTATTGCATCACGTTTAGCCTTGTGCTCCATTATTGCAAATGTAATGTATTTGTTGTGTAGGATTTATGTTTGTATTGCTGGCGTACCTTCTATATGGCTGCAGTAAACGTATCTGCATGTCTCTATAGAGGCTTTCTCTCTCACACACACACCTCTCCGTGTGGCCCTCTGGGAAAGCTCAGTTCCTTCCGTCTGTATTTTTAGTGTGAGAAGGAGTCAGGTCAGATCCATCTCTCTCCCTCCCTCTCTCTCTCTCTCTCTCTCTCTCTCTCTCTCTCTCTCTCTCTCCCTCCCTCTCTCTCTCTCTCTCTCTCTCTCTCTCTCTCTCTCTCTCTCTCTCTCTCTCTCTCTCTCTCTCTGTATGTGAACGCAGAGTCAGGTCAAGATGTAACTCAGAAATGGAGCAGCACAATCTTTACATTCACACTCGTCACACTCAAATGTTTATTGTCTAAATATATTCTCTTTAATAAGACAATCACATCCGCACAGATTTGGGAGGAAATGCTTTTGTTGTTTTATGTATGTGTTGTTTTAGTAAAGGAATTATGCAAGTCAGATGTAGTGTCAGAAAAGGTCAACCTTATATAACTACAATGTGAAAATATCAATATACAAAAAAAAAGCAATACAATAATTTAACTGTTTTTTTAATATTTTGTGATTCATGTTTTTATTTTTTACCCGTTTCTTTATGGTTTTGAATTGCGTTATGGGGTCTTGATCTTTCTTCCTACAATTTTTAACATTTTTAGGTTGACTTTTACTTTGAATAGTTTCAGTAGTTTAATTGATATACTGTCTGGGTTGGTGTTACATTATGTATATTACGGTTGGTGGTATATTACGTCAGGGGTTTTCAGAGAGAGACATTGAGGAGTGCACTCGAGTAAATTATGATGACGATTTTTATGTCTTCACGAGTGAGTCAGATTAATGTTAGCTCCACATCTAACAATCTTGCAAATGTAGAGTTTATGCGTTCGAGTAAAACATATACAAATAAAATAGACCAGGTGCTTTTTAAAATGAATGACAGTGAAGGAAAGTAAAACCGATGAGCCGTCTGACAAAAATGAGCCCTTCTGAATCAAATCAGCAGGATGGCCTTCTGGATCTTTCACTAACTTTGAAGACACTACTGACTACGCTTACATGGACATCTGTAATCTAATTATTTGCTCTAATAGACAATAACATAATTAAGGTGTTAACGTGAAGTGCTTTCATGTAAGAGTTTCCTGTAATTTTGGGTGACTTTAACTGCAGTTCGGCAGTTTCACTTTCACCTATGAATATTTCATTCATGCCCCCGTGACAAACTGAGGTATTAGATGCAAATAAGGAATAAGGACTGGTGGAAGAGTGTTGTTTTAATGGAATTTAATAACGCACGCTTAATGGAAAGAAATTGAAAACATCCACATTTTGCAATGTGCGTGTCTAGGGTCCTTTACTGACAGCCGAGTGTGTGGATCTTGTCGGAAAATATGGTGAAAAGTCCTACATGACGGTAATAGTTTGCTTGTTTACTTCAATAATACCACTAATATACATACTCCACTTCTTAATTCCATTTCTGTTTATTTCAGTTATGACTTTAGTCGGATTAAGGTAATCAAAAATTGCTGTTTACATAGTAGACACTTAATCAGAGTATTTTCTTTATTGTATTAAAAATCTATTAAAGTATTAGTGTCCTTGTAAACATACTTAATGATCGACTTAACCCACCGTCAGGACTCTGCAAACATGACTTTCTGTATGTACGTACATCAAAAGCAAGTATGCCATGGCTCACACTTATTGACAATCGAGATGGGACGCGAGTGAAATTGGCCAAACTTGGTGGGTGTGTGTCCTAAAAGGTTAAAAACAGCTGTATTTCAGTACAAAAACCTTGTTGTTGACACTTTCTCAATTACTCCATGTCTGAAACATTGGCATTTCAAATTGTGCTTCGTTTAGGTGAGTGGGCTTGAAAACCACCTGTAGAAACTAGGGATGCTCTGTTCGATCAGCCGAAGATAATCACATTTCATGTCTTGATCAGTACTCACCAATCTGGCTGATCTCATAGACTGATCGCCGGTGTTTGTTTATGAGTTTACAAGTAGAGGAAGACAAGCGCTCAGCTACATACATAGCCTAAGCTGAAGTAAAATGAATTGTTTTCTGTAAAGCTGCTTTTGGCCATGACATGTTCACACCTAAACGGTTATAAGAGATGTGTTTAAGGTTTAATTTGCAGCATCCTTAATTTATTCTCTTAGGTAAGATCTTCCCTTAAGGTTCATACTTGAAGGGAAAGTGTGCTCAATGCATTGTAAAGCTTGAAGCATCAGAATCGGTACTTGGTATCAGCGATCATTATGACAAAGGATTATCTTACATCTTGTAAAAGGTGTAAAATATGTGCCTTTTAATTTCTGCTTGTGTTCTTAGGGACTGATTTAAGGCCTGTGCATGTTGAAAAATGCATCATGCCATTCCTTTTGGACAAACATTTGATTGGGAATGGTTTTATTTTTCAGCATAAAAGTGCACTGCTGGCACTTTGAAATCATATTTCTATGGAAAAACAGCTGATAACACACTCAAACTAAACGTTATGGAGACAGTATTGGATTACATGGGCAGACAGGAAAAAAAATCAAATAGCCTAAATCTAAAGAAGAACTTTGACAAGTGGAAGCTTTCCATACCACATTATTAAAGAAACCTTTAGGACAGTGTTGCACAGTGCCTCAGTGGTTGGCACTGTTGCCTCACAGCAAGAAGGTCGCTGATTCAAATCCCAGCTAGACCAGTAGGAATTTCTGTTTGGAGTTTGCATGTTCTCCTTGTGTTGTTGTGGGTTTCCTCCAGGTGTTCCGGTTTCTCCCATAGTCCAAACACATGCATTATAGGTGAATTAAATAAACTAAGTTGGCCGTAGAGTATGAGTGTGTGTGTGTGTCAATGGCTGTGTATGGGTGTTTCCCAATACTGGGTTGCAGCTGGAAGGGCATCCACTGCATAAAGCATAAGCTGGCGGTTCATTCCACTGTGGCAACCCCTGATTAATAAAGGAACTAAGCTAAAAGAAAAGAATGAAATCAATTCTGCGCAGCACCATGGCTAAGTTTTCAGAACTGTTGCCTCACAGCATGAAGGTCGCTGGTTCGAGTCCTGACTAGGCCAGTTGGCATTTCTGTGTAGTTTGCAAGTTCTCCCCTTTTCTGTGTGGGTTTACTCTGGGTGCTTTGGTTTCCCCCATAGTCCAAATACATGTGCTAAATTGGATTAACTAAATTGACCGTTGTGTATGAGTGTGTGTGTAAATGCGAGAATGTTTGGGTGTTTCCCAGTACTGGGTTGCAGCTGGAAGGGCATCTGCTGCGTAAAGCATATGCTGGAATAATTGGCGGTTAATTCCGCTGTGGTGAGCCCTGATAAATAAGGGACTAAGGCTAAGGCTAATGAATGAATTAAATTCAAATCTTTTGAACAGTGATGTAAATATGAATCTGTATACAAAATATTGCATATCACAATGGAAATGATAGTTTGTTATGTGTTATTATGAGAACAGTGTGTGTAGGTGCGCGAGGGAGGGAACGGTGCTGCTGATACTGCAGTTTAATGGTGTTTTATCTTAATGCCATATTGCAGGTCAGACAAACAGCGTTACGCTCATGAAACAGTCACGGGCTGCTGATGACAGTCTACAGCAGACACTTTTAAAGCCATTCATCGACTGAGAGCTGTTTTACCTCTTGCAGATCATTGACCTGAAGTCATTAGTGATGTAGTTATGCTGTTCTGGTATAGTACACATTTGGCTATTATAGCTGTTTCAGATCCTCCGTCTGTCTGTGTGTCTGCCTTGTTAGTGGCTTTCTTAAATTACTATCAGTGAGAACAGTGGTTGTTCTGGTGAACTTAAAATTTTTAGCTATCCAATGAAAATGCGTTCATGCAGTACAGTTGAAGTCAAAATTATTCACCCTGCTGTTAATTATTATTTTTTTATTATATTTCTCACATGATGTATAACAGAGCAAGCAATTTTTCATAGTATTTCCTATAATATTTTTCCTATACTATTTTTCTTTTGGAGAATGTCTTATTTGTTTTACTTCTGCTAGAATAAGTTTTTAATGAAAAAACAACATTTTAAGGTTAATATTATTAGCCCCCTTAAGCAATCATTTTTCGATTGCCTACAGAACAAAAAAATACTGTTATACAGTGACTTGCCTAATTACCCTAACTTGCCTAATTAAACTAGTTTAGCCTTAAAAGTGCAGTATGTAGGTTTGACACCCAGTGGCTGAACTATGTATTGCACCCCTGGTTGAAAGCACACGCAAGAGCAGGTTGCCAGATTGACGACAGTCACGACACCAACAAAGGCTGATTGAAATCTTGTTCTAAATAAAAGCACCGGCATGCTATAGAAGGAATATTCTACATATTAAAAAGAAGTTTTGCTCTAACCAACACCTGAAATGTATATATTAGAAACGGCTTCTATTTCTTGCACTTGAACAACAGAAAATTGACAATGATTACTATGCCGCCCTTAGTTACAATGCAAAGGCTGAGATCCTTTTCACAGATATTTATTGCACTTAACGACAAATGCCGACATCCACATCGTAGAACTGAATAAATAGGTACAAAAACAACATCAGACACAAATTGAGATTTAAACGTACAACCTTAAAGTCATTAATAAACAACAAAACATTCACATACCTATTTGCCTGCTTGTAAATAAGAGAGGAGGGGTACATCCTTAGATTTCTTGATTGGATGAGTTAAACCAAAGACTCTAGAATACACAAGACATGTCACTCTTATACTTTTAAATGGGGAAAAGTGTAACTGTCAATATGGCTAATGAAGCCCTGCCTTGTAGTACAGGAGCCAATTAGCGATCGCTATAGAATGACAAGTCTCCTGGGGAGGGGCTCGGACCAGACGTGAGTTTCTGCAGATTTTGTGTCATTTAACATTTAGAAGTAAAACTAAATAGATAGATGTTGTTTAATCTTACTGGCTGATCGTAAAATGAAATGTAATAGTAAGCTTGGCAAGTCGTTTTGGAGAAGTTGATGTTTCCCGATTCAGATAGAATGCCTGAGCATACTGCCAGAGAGGTGTTTCAAAGATGGCCGCAGAGTGAAATGACTTGCCCTAAAGAGACTTTGCTTAAACTCACAAAAGAAACATCCTTAAATCTTGCTGTTACTTCCCTGTTTCATTTTCATGCAAGAAAATAAATCAAAAAATAAATAGTATTTTTTTAGGCAAGATGAAAATGAAATGTGTCGTGGACGAAAATGAGTGGGGCAGGGTTGTCGCAGACTAACGTGAAGAGGATTGGGGAGTCGCGGAAGAAAGTGAACAGCGGATGGTGGAGGCGGGTGGTTAAGGAGGTGGATCGGTAAAATTTGGCACAAATTAAGCCCTGGTGTAAACCTACACATATTAGTGGTATGGCATGAACAATTAATAATGTTAAAGAGGTTTAATATGTATTAATTAGATTATAAACCTCATCATTTCAATGGAGTGCAGTAAGTGCACTATTCTGTGCTTCTGAATGGCTGTGTTTAAATTTCTGTCGTGTTTCGTCTGGTGCAAACAGCCAAACTGCTTATCGCTGCAAATCTCATCTTGTGTCGTGTTGTTAGCACAAGGGATTACAATGTAACCCACTCACCTAATGTTTACGTTTGTATTATTTATGTTATTTGCTAATTGATAACCTCATGTGGAACTCTGAATCTGCATCTCATTTTGGAGGCTGCTACTGTCCGCTACTGTCCGCAAAGGTCGCATTTTCGGTCGCAAACGCATGCTTTGAGAGCCTCCCTGACTGTATGAATGACACCAAGGCAACCCGGGGTGCTGGCATTGGAATATTACGGCATGTAACGCACAGTTTCAAAGCAGAATATCTGAATTCAGCATTTTTTCATATAAACAAGAATGTTCACTTAACATGTTGCTTGAATATCTGCAAACATATTATGGTGTTTTTATGCTTTAGAAGAGTCAAAAACGTACATACAGCACCTTTAAAATGTCACTTTAAGCTGAATACTAGTATCTTGAAAAATATCTAGTAAAATATTATTTACTTTCATCATGGCAAAGTTAAAAGAAAACAGTTATTAGAAATTAATTGTGAAAATTATTATATTTAGAAATGTGTTGAAAAAAATCTTCTTTCCATTAAACAGAAGTTGGGAAAAAACATGCAGGGTGCTAAAGATTCAGGAAGGTTAATAATTCTAGCTCCAACTGTATAGAAGAAGGCGCTCTGTATTTATGAATGCAGTCAGACTGAAGGTCATTGTATGATCCTCACAATACGCGCAGCGCTTTCAGGAGTCACCTTGAGTGTCTCTGCGCCGTCTGGAGGTTTTCTAAGAGTCACGGACTGATTGATCTTCGAGATAGACTCCATCAGAGCAGAGAATGATATCCTCTCAGCTTGTCTCAAGGCTAAAAGAGACACACACTCAGTTTCCATTACGCTTCATTAATTCCTCATCTATTGTCTTGCTGCACAATAAGTGTGAAAATTACCTGGATTTTAAGAGTCAGCACTGAAATAGATGGATGAATCTCATTAATGTGTGCTAAATGTTTGTGCACCATATTGTATTAAAAATGCATAGTAAACACTTTTATGTCCACAATGAAAACTGGATGTCCTTCACTGAATTGGCCGTGCAACATGATGAGGTTTATGTGCAACAATATTGAATACCTTGTTTGCAACTTTTATTGTATTTAGTAAGGCTACACAATTTTGGAAAAATCTGACATTGCGATATTTTGTTTTTCTGCGATACAGTGCATCTGGAAAGTATTGATAGCGCTTCTCTATTTCCACATTTTTTATGTTACAGCCTTATTCCAAAATGGATTAAATTCATTTATTTTTTCAAAATTCTACACACGATACCCCATAATGACAATGTGAAAAAAGAGTTTTTGAAATTGTTGCAAATGTATTAAAAATAAAAAACCCGAAGAATCACATGCGCATCAGTATTCACAGCCTTTGCTCAATACTTTGTTGATGCACCTTTGGCAGCAATTACAGTCTCAACTTTTTTTGAATATGATGCCACAAGCTTGGCACACCTGTCTTTGGGAATTTTTGCTAATTCCTCTTTGCAGTACCTCTCAAGCTCTATCAGGTTGGATGGGAAGCGACGGTGTACAGCCATTTTCAGATCTCTCCAGAGATGTTCAATAGGATTTAGGTTTAGGCTCTGGCTGGGCCACTCAAGGACATTCACCGAGTTGTTGTGAAGCCGCTCCATTGATATTTTGGTGGTGTGCTCGTACAATGTGTATAGCTCTGGGTTAAATACAATTTTATCGTACATTTTTTAAAGGAAGATGAAGGTGTAGGTTATATAGGTGGTTGTTAAATGAAAAGCTTTTCTATAAAAAAGTTGAAAAAACTCCTGCAAGTTCTGAAAGAGATCAAACCTCATATACATATAACATATTACTTTAGTAACGCAACTTGGGGGAGTAACTCAATATTGTAATGCACTACTTTAAAAAGGTAACTTTCCCCAACACTGCTGGTTAGATGCTCACCATCTCTTTTTCCCCCTCTCTTTAGTGGGATGTTCTTTGATGGGAATCACACCTACATGATCGAACCAGGAGGAGAAAATACCACAAGTGTAAGTACAGTGGATTCCTGTTTTGTTTCTTTGTTTTTACTGGCTTTTTACATCTCTACTTTGGTGTTATTCATTCATTTTCCTTCGGCTTAGTCCCTAATCGGCTTAGTCTCTGTCGCCACAGCATAATGAACCACCAATTATTCCAGTTTTATACAGCGGATGCCTTTCCAGCCACAACCCAATACTGGGAAACACCCATGCACTCTCACATTCACACACACACACACACTCACACACACACACACACACACACACACACACACACACACACACACACACACACACGCACACACACACACACACACACACACACACACACACACACACACACACACACACACACACACACACACACACTATGGCCAGTTGTTGTTTTTCCAATACACCTATAGCGCATGTCTTTGTACTGTGGGGAAAACCGGAGCCATTGAGCCCACCATGCTGCCCTACTTTGATGTCCATAGATGAAACTTGACAATGATTGTTTAAGACAAGAAGATGACCAGAGCAGTTTAACAGGGCTTTTCCTGCGCAGACAGGTAATATGTTAAATGATAAGTCCATCACACAGTCGATAGAGACACCTGACTCTGCAAAAGCACAGTTATTATCTGCTAATGGAAGAATCCAACATGAACAGTCACAGAGAATGAGCAAGGCGTATCTGTGAAAGGCGAGCTGAAGCTGCGTCACTGAGACACTGATGCTGAAGAAAAAGAATATATCAATTCTCAGCCACAGAATCATTCACAGAGGAACTTGCTAATGAAGGGATTTAGAGCTGCGATGAAGGTTAAAATGTTAAAGTTCTCTTATTAACGGGAGATGAAACCCGTTCAGTGACACATGAGGGAGCTTATGATCCGATCTGAGTTTGCTTTTATTCTGTCACAGTCTTATCCTTATTATGCCATCAGAAATAAGGAGATTTCAATATATAATGAACGAAACGTATATAATTTTGACCATATTTCTAAATATAATTAATTCAAATTTACTATTAGCAAATTAGTATTCGATAAATGCATACAGGGCACTGCATTAATGAGCATTCACCCCCTTTTGAAAATTGATATTATCAGTGGATGTAAACAATATGTTTTGGTGCGTTTTCAAAACAGTTTTACTAAACAATTATATTCATGAATCTGAAAGTGTGGTCAACTAACAGAAAATAGAAAGATAATACATTTAAATTTAGTGTTCTAAAAAAAAACTAAGTAGAAAAATTTATCTAAATTTAATATTTTATGGTTCTCTTGATTTTCCTCTTTATTAAAATGTTTTTAAATTATATTTTCTCATCACATATTAAACATTTTTGGACCGTTAGTTATTTTGTTACATTAGCTCCAGTTTTGGCTTTGGTACTGACTAATTTAATGCATATAAACAATTATATATTGTATAGCATACTATAGAAATTATTCATTTAAAAGAGAAATGTGTAAAGGGTGTACTCATTTATGCTGGGCACTGTCATATTTTATAATAATGTTAATGTATATACACACACGCACATTCATGCAGAAATATAATTTTTAAAAAGAGGGAAAGAAGATGCATTTGTTATTTCAACTAAAAAAAAATTCTTTAGACATCCCACTTATAAACTAACTAGATAGCTAAAATCATCAACATTATACTAATAAGCTCTCCAGTAAAAAAAAAAAAACATGCTGCTGGAATCTTTCTAAAGTCATTTTACCGCCCTGTAATATGGCTCAAAACTGATTTTTTTTTTTACTAGACTAATTTACATCCATAAATGTATAAAATATAATTTTAGATAAACATTTACATTTTTACATATTTATATTTACATATTTATAACTATAATGTAACTAATAGTAGATATGAACCAAAAAAAAAAACTGTTGTGGAAATTGGTACCAAGAAGTAATACATTATCAGAACAAACAAACATAGTTCAATTGAAAAAAAGAAACTAATACAGAGACAAATGTTACAGAACATTTATTAGACACAGAAGTCGAAACAGGACAAAAGGTAAAACAACAATACCTTTAAACAAGACAAGGATCAAAAATTGGGATGCAGTGACAGTCAAATAATTCGCTGAGCAGTGACTTTTGACGCTCATAAACAATCATAAAGTCCTCGTGCTGCAGGAATTAGGAGGTTTGCTAAAGGTGCCACTGTCATGCAGTGGGGGGTTTGCGTCTTTAATAATCTACAGCAGTTTGCATTCATTGAACAGTAAGACTGATTAATAGACACATATGAAACAGTCCCTTAAAAGTCTTCATTTTCGGGCTCAGCCCAAGTGAACTGTGCTCTGGCACACCTCTTACAACCGTGCCAGGACCAGCCAACTAAACCGTGCCTGAGCCCGATTCAGAACACTCACACTTCTTAAACGATCCAGGAAATGGGCATGGGCATGGTTCGGACAGCATAATGTGAGTGTGCCCTTAGTGCGTCGACACATGGCACTCTAGTGTTTACGGCAACCCGAGTTTGATTATCGCCTCAAGGTCCTATGCCAATCCTTCCCCTCTCTCCTCTCCCCACACTTTCCTGTATATACATTACTCTACTGTCCTATCAATTAAAGGTGAAAAAACATAAATTGAGTAGACAAGAAGAAACCGAAAGAAAATAAGGATTATTCGTTTTTTTGTTCACTCAACTTCAGGCATTCCAGTTCTGCCGACAAAAAATGTTCAGTTGGCACAAATTAAAAAGTTTTGTTACAGAGTAGTTCACCTCTCCAGAAAACTAATAATCTTCTGTTAACCCAACTAAATGGTTTTTGTATAACTGACAAATAATTTTAGGTCAGTGCAGCTGATGCTTTCAAAAGTTGAGTGAACAAGAAAAAGTGAAAGCAAATAAGGATTATGTTTTTGTTGTTGTTGTGGTTGTTGTACTGGCTTAATTTTTACAGTGTACCTACAGTTGAAACCAGAAGTTTGCATACTCTCTAAAAAAAGGATTTTTTTTTTTAAATGTCTGATGGTAAATCATAATAAATGTTTACTATTTTAGATCCATTAGGATTACCTACATGATTTACATTTGCTACATGCCAGAATAATGAGAGATTTTTTTATTCATTTCTAGAGAGTCAAAGGTTTACATACATTTCCTTGGTATTTTTTTAGCTTTGCTTTGAAACTGTATAACTTTGGTCAAATGCTTTGGGTATCCTTTCACAAGTTTCTCACAATAGTTTGAAGGATTTTTTGTCCATTCCTCCTGATAGAACTGGTGTAAGCCTTTTCAACTCTGCTCACAAATTTTCTATAGGACTGAGTTCAGGGCTTTGTGATGGCCACTCCAAAACATTCACTCTGTTGTCTATAAAGCACATTTTAACTAATTTGGTTAGGGTCATGGTCTAGGGTTTAGGGTCATGGTCTGTTTGAAAGACGCATTTGTGGCCAAGTTTTAATTTCCTGGATGATGTCTTGAGATGTTGCTTCAGTATTTCTACATAATGTTCTTTCTTCATGATGCCATCTATGCTGTGAAGTGGACCAGTCCCTCCTGCAGCAAAACAGCCACACAACATGATGCTGCCGCCCCCATACTTCACAGTTGGGATGGTGTTCCTAGGCTTGTAAGCTTTCCCCTTTGTTCTCCAAATGTAACACTGGTTATGGCCAAACAGTTCAATCTTAGTTCCATCAGACCACAGGACATGTTTTTTTTTTTTTTTTTTTGATGATTCTGGTTTGTTGATTTTCCCATGTTGTCACACAAGAAATCAGTGTGTTTGAGGTTTTCCTTAAATACTATTCTACAGTTGTGCCTCCAATTAACACAAATGTTGTCAATTAGCCAATCAGAAACTTCCAAAACTTGATACCATCTTCTGAGCTTTTTCAGAGGCATAATAATCTAATTGTGTGTAAACTTGACTTACAAGAAAAGTTATAACAATTTCTCAAAAAATCTCTCCCTCATTATTCTGCTCTTATGCATAACATAAACAAATTTGATAATCCTAACTTACCTAAAAGAGAAAAAGTTTAGTCACATAATATTTGACTTCTTTTTTTAAATGGTCATGTGTCTTTTTATACCCTGCATGTAAACTTCTGGTTTCAACTGTATATTGAGTCTAATATCACCGGTTACTAATTTCCCTCCTAGTTAGAAAGCAGTTCATTTTTTTTTCAGTCCTCAGTCACCCTTCTCTCTGTGCTGATGTGTGAAACGAGTTTCACCTTCTGCCTGTTCTCGTGTAATGCTTCATCTCATGAGCATCTCGCCCTTAGAAATGACTCAGTTTCTGCATGCTGATGGTTTTGTCATGTTTCATATCGTCAACCCTATAACCTTGCGTTTTGGCAACCTCAGCAACAGGGCCGTTTTCTGATCTGATTCATTCAGACGCATTCACAAAGCAGAGGGACAGTATCGTCCTGTTCACCATATGGCACATGCAACTGTCATCCGCCTCGCACTACAGCGGGGAAGATGAAAGCGTGTCCCTCTTTGGCCTCTGTGGTGTCTCTCACTGCTGGATGCTGCTCAAAGCTCACAGCACATGCAGAGTCTTTGCCTCTTAACACACCTAAAGTCAACAAGAAATCAAAGAGGATGCTTTAAATGCCATGTTCATGATTAAGGACATAACCATTGAACATGAACAGTGATTCGTTGGTTTACAAAGAAAGATGTTAATCATTGCGAATTTTTGTCAAAAAGTTTCAACTCGGAAATAACTATCCTGTTCAACTGATGTTGGTTTAAGATTTGAAACATTTAATAATTAATTAACAAACCATATATTTATATATGACCAAAAATTGCATTAATTTAAAAATATATAACAAATAACTACTATATTTAATAGAATAGTTTGTCAAATTTTGACACAGTGAAAAAAATAAACAATGATATAATTTATTAAATAATTATATATTTTTAGAATAATAATAATAATAATAATAATAATAAATGTAGGATTATAGACCATATTTAGTTTATTTATTTACACCTCCATTCAAAAAAATGTGACTTTAAATTTTAAAGGATTAAATGTAAACTTTTATAATGATAACGGAATATAATAAAATAATTTATAATTTTAAAATAATAATAATAATAATAATAATAATAATAATAATAATGATAATAATAATAAAAACAAATGTAGGGGCCATCACGGTGGTGCAGTGGGTAGCACTATTGCCTCACAGCAAGAAGCTAGCTGGTTCGAGCCTCGGCTGGTCAGTTGGCATTTCTATTATTACATACATAATTACATAATATTATTATGTATTATTGTGTAATTACATAAGTATTATTGCATAAAAATATTTATCAATTTATAATAATAAAGGATAATAATGGAATTCTAAAACTATTATTGATAAATATGAGTCAATATTTATGATTATATTTTGTAAGAGGAATAAGTACAATAATAATAATGATAATAATAATAACATATATAGGATTATAGACCATATTTCCACCTCCATTCATAAAATGTGTTTTTAAATTGTAAAAGTAAAATGTAAACTTTTTAATAATAAAGGATAATAATAAAAGGGTAAAATTATTATTAATAAATATAAGTCTATATTTATTATTACTATTATTATTAATAATAATAACAACAACAATAATAATAATAATAATAATAACAATAACAATAATAATAATAATAATAATAATAATAATAATAATAATAATAATAATAATAATAATAACAATGGAATTATAAAATTATGATGATTGTATCCTAAAAAAAATTATTGTGCCACAATTGTTTTCAGCACTGATGATAATAATTATATTAATCGCCATGAATTTCTGAAGTATAATTAATGCTGGAAATTCAGTTTCATCTTATTATCTTAATTCAGCTTTAATCATCACTGGAATAAATTATATTTCAAAATATAAATTTAAATAAGGAACATTTGTTTAATAATAATGAAGGATAATAATATATTAATATCTGTTATGCATTGAGATGCTTTTAATTGCCCAATTTTCATTTACATTCATTTACAAACATTTCAAAATTAAATAATAAATAAATTTAATTTTCCAATTAGCTTGACTAAATGGATTCGATTTCCACTTCTAGTTCCACTCAAACAGGAAATCAAACATTTTCTTCCACAATCATCATCATCATCCCCTACTAAAACGGGACTGTGTATTTTTAAAGGGAAAGTTGTTCCTTATTTTCTGTATTTTCCGCTCAGTGGACAGTCTTCTTTCTGATAGTGTTGGGGATGGGGGATCATCACAGGCTCCCCACCCCCTCAACATCCTTAACACACTTTCCAAAAAAAAAGAAAGTGTGCCATCCCCCAACCTGCTTTCTATTCATGATCTCGTCCCCAGGAGAACACACACACACACACACACACACACACACACACACACACACACCCTCCTCTGCTCAAATACAGAAAACCCCATCTTATTTTAAGCCAATACATCTGAGAGGCCATCTGGGTTATATGGCTAATCCTCCACAAAGTGCCGCCTCTCATACGTGCGTGTGTGTGTATTTGGGGGGTGGAGTGGAAAGGCCTTCATAGAAATGAGGTCTGTGTCTCCCTCGTCTTTCTTATCTAGCGCACTCAAATTCCCTGTTGGCTCTTAGTACAGGAGTGTGTCGGTCAGCTGGTATAGAGTATGGCAATAGCAATGGTGGCAGAGTGAGGGGTTTATTATCATCACAGTGAACTTAATGCATGCTTGTTATATGCTCAGCAGCGATTGTCGTCTAAATGTTGCAGCAGAAATGAAGGCATTATCCCAATTCTATTTCATAGCCCCTATGCCTTCCCCTTGGACCTTGAGTGTGAATGGGGCATGGATGAATGCATTTAAATTAGGGCTACACAATATTTGGTTTTCGCATCGATATCGCAGTGTGCGCATTTACAATAGTCACATCTGCAATGTCATGTTGGGATTATAATTAACCAGGAGAAAAAAATATTTTTGCGGCTTGCTCAAACTCCTTATTTAAAATGGGCTGAACAACACAACTCTTGAGATTTTTCAGAGACAACTTAATTGTTTTATGTTCAATACATTTAAATTTGTTACGGTAACTTGTTCGATTTGTGTTGAGACAACATGGATGAATTGTATGGAACCCTGCAGTTTTTACAGAGCAGTACACGTGAGTCATTGTGAATTTTGAACCGTGATCAAGGTTTTTACTTGGATGTGTTTTTAAAGCTGCAGTAGGTGATTTTCTTCAGACCTTTTTGTTTTTGTGCTGGTTAAAGGTCTCTTGACATTCCAATAGTAATGATTAAAGTAAATGATCTAAATGTGTTTATGTATTTTTATATTCTGGGAATAAAACAAAAACAAATTCATCCAATTAAATATTGGCAAGCCGATAATTCCCATAATTCTGATAAGTAGCCCAAACTGTCTGTCAGCAAATGCTTAATCAACAAACCCAGGACATTTTTGAGTATACTCAACTTAAATCGAGTCAAGTGAATTGGGTTGAAAGTTGAGTCAACTTAAAAATGAACTGAAGTTTGTTGCTTTCAAATTTTAAGTTGTCAACTACGTTTTTTTTTACAATACTGAAAAAAGTGTTCCTGCCTTAAATTTACAAGTCATTTCAACATGGATCAATTAAACAGTCTTAAAACTTCATTTAAACCTGATAAACCTACTACATTAGTATCAAAAACTTCATGATTTTTTTAATCACATCATTTTACAGTGAAATGTTGATAACATAAATGCATTTCAGTTTTTTTTATAGGCAGCTGACAGTCTTGTTATTTTTTAAGTAAATTTCATTTCTACACACAAAACTGCTTAGTGGATGTATTTTTATTTTCTCTGCAAACCCTAGAGATGTTGTGGCTGGAAGGAAATCCTCTGTGTAAAACATATGCTGGAATAGTTGGGGGTTCATTCCACTGTGGTGACACCTGATAAATAAGGGACTAACCGAAGGAAAATGAAGGAAACCTTGAAATGGTTGTGCAGGAAAATCCCAGTTGATCAGCAGTTTCTGAAATACTCAGAGCCTGACTGGCACCAATAAACATACCTTTTTCATAGTCACTTACATCACCTTTCTTCCACATTATGATGATTTAAACTTCAGAAGATAATCTTGAACGTCTGCGTGCCCATGACTGACTGAATACATTTGTGTTAACAAGCAGTTGAATTATTGTACCTAATAAAGTGTCCTGATATTATGAAAGCCAGTCATTACAAAAATTGAGAACTCTACAAATTTTTACCTTGAGGAAACAAAACACCAAGTGACAGTTCCATGCATCTCAACAAATCACAGCAGAACATCTCATTCAATAAACTGCACTTTAATAAAAAAACAAAGACATTAGTAAACTACACAGTGATTAAAATTAACATTGTGCTGCAGAGCTTTGCAGAAACAGGCAAACTGAAATAGATATGTGCAACATTCAATAGGCGAAGATCAAGTTTAAGACATTAGCGTGTTTTCCTCAATTCAGCTAAGAAACTAACAGTAAACAAACACATTAATGGAGCATTCATTATTCAAATGCTGAGTTGCACAATGATGAATACGCTGGTGACACCTTTAAAACACAACAACAACAATAAGATAACATTTACATTTATAAGAAAACAATGGAATGCAACGCAGTGTTCAGTTAATGGCTTGTTGATGTAAGGCTCATTATAAAGGATTAAATTAATAAGTGGAAGTACAGTTCTGGAAACAAGAGTTAAGCTGCACAAAGGCATCAGGCAGAGATGATTCTTCCATGTATATATAAAAAACCTCTACTAGGTGTTCGTTTAACATTGTGACATCTGCATAAAACCCCATGAAAACATGATGTACAGATATTAGAGCAATAAACCAACATATTCACTAAGCTTAAAAAAGAAAACGTCCAACTTCATGGCACTGAGAATAATACAGTTTCAGCAGTCAGTGTTACATCTCTTTCTAATATTTACTGTAATAGTCACATTTAGATATTAGCAGAAATATTTGCTTAAAGGTTAAAACAGTGCTTAAAATCAACTTTATATTCAGTGTTTCTACTGACATTTAAAAGCAGAGTAACAACACGAAACATGAGTATGAATTAAGTGAAGTCACCTTGACATACTCAGTGAAATTATTAACAAGTTTGTTTTGCTTGTGTTTTATAAATGAAACTATTATAAAGCGAGATGCACAACTTCAGCTAGTGTTACTGCTTTCATGACCTTTTTTCCCTTTTTGGCCATTTTAGTGCTAAGAATTAAGAGGCATCTGCGACATCCACTGAATAAAGGCGTATCTTTAACCATTTACATAACTTCAAATTCACCATGAGAGTTGTACTCTAATTTCTAATTATGATCAGATTTCTTAGCAGACCAGAATGTCACTAGTGCGCTCTTCTTCTGCTGCTGTAGCTCATCTGCTTCAAGGTTTGATGTGTTCAGAGTTGCTCCCCTGAAGACTTTAGTTGTAGTAAGAGGTTATTTGAGACAACATCACCTTTCTATCTGCTCAAATCGCTTTTCGGGTTGTTTTTTTCCCTTTTTTTGGCCATTTTCAGTGCCAAGAATTAAGAGGCATTGGTGACATCAACTGAATAAAGGCTTATTTTTCAATTTTACAATTTACATGACTTCAAATTTACCATCATAGTTGTTCTCTAATTTCTAATTATGACCTTTGTATTTGGAGGGCATTTCGCCTTACTGCGCCTCCAAGCAAAAAATAATCAGTGAGTGGAAGGCTGGATTGGGCCTAAGTGTTAACAGAAGATTGTAAAATGGTTGCCTGATCTGATATCGAGTTTTGTTGAATTCATGTCAATTGGAGCATCAGTTTTCCTAGCAGACAGGAGTGTCACCAGAGTGCTCTTCTTCTGCTGCTGCTGTAGCTCATCTACTTCAAGGTTTGCTGTGTTCAGAGTTGCTCTCCTGCAGACTTTAATCGTAATAAGAGGTTATTTGAGAAAATGTCACCTTTTTATCTGCTCAAATAATTTTTTTGATCGATTTTTCCTTTTTTGGCCATTTTCAGTACTAATAATTAAGAGGCACCGGCGACATCAACTGAATAAAGGCTAATCTTTCAATTTAACCATTTACATGTCTTCAAATTTACCATCGGAGTTGTTCTCTAATTTCTAATTATGACCTTTTTGATTCAATAAAAACGGCACTTTCGCTTACTGATTCTCTTTTGCTTGGAGGCGTAAGAGTAAGTGGAAGGGTTTAAGAGGTAGAACTGAAATGGGCCTAAGATGTATCAGAATAGCCAACCTTCCTACAATTTTCTGTCATAGTTTTGTTGAGCTCATGTCAATGGGAACCTCAGTTTTCTTAGCAGACAGGAGTGTCACCAGTTTGCTCTTCTTCTGCAGTAGCTCATCTGCTTCAAGGTTTGATGTGTTCAGAGTTGCTTTACTGCAGACTTTAGTTGTAATACGAGGTTATATGAGAATGTCACCTTTCTATCTGCTCAAATCACTTTTCTGATAGTTCTGGCCATTTTAGTCCTAAGAATTAGAGGCGACATTAACCAAATGAAGGCTGTTCTTTCTATTTAACCATTTACATGACTTTAAATTTACCATCAGAGTTGTTGTCTAATTTCTAAATATGACCTTTTTAATTTGAAATATCCTTAGACAGCCAATCTCAATCTGTGAGGACAGGAATGTCAATCTCAATCCCTGACGTTCGGGAGCGTGTCGAATATCGGTGTCCGGCGTACCTCTGTGATGGCGCGTAGCTTTGTGATGGAGCATATCCCTGAGAAGGAGCGTAGCTTTGTGAGGGGGCATAACTATAAACCTGCGAGGCTCCAACTTCTGAGCCATAACCATCTGGCACAGACATTTGTGGCATGTAGACGTGGGGGGGCATAGGCTGTGTGGATGCAGGTTGAGGGTAACCCTGCATTGGGACAAAAGCAGGGGCGTCCAGAACGGCTGGAGGGAAGCTCTGGGGCGCGTACGTCACGGGAGTAGGCAAACCGTTGGTCATGAGAGGCTGCGCAGAGAGGCTTTGGGTCATTGTGGGCACTTCAGGAAGAGGCAGCCAGAAAGGCGAAGGCAGTTTTTTACACATACAATACCACATGAACATCAGCAGAGCAGCCAGGATTAAACCACCAGCACTGCCGATGGCCACATACACCCCAAACTCAACAGCAAATAAATGATCGTAGCGCTCATTTAGGTGACGGGTGTGGAAGAGGAACCAGACGGAGGGTGGCATGGCGATCGCTCCACCTAGAAACAGAAGCATCCCAGCTACTAGATGGCAGCCTGAGCTGTTGACCAAGCAGCGAGAGTTCTTGATGTCGTCAGGGGTTTTGGAGCAGCAAGCAGTTTTACACATGCCAGTAAGACAGAGCAGAAGAGCCAAGCTGGAAAACAGCAGACCTGTGCAGGGGAAGTTGTTGACGTCAGCATTAAAGATTCAACTTAAAGCACTGCAAATTACAAAGCAAACTCAGGATTCTGCTAAATAAATGGAATTTAATGTACGATAAGTAATGTGGGAGAATTTGCCAAAATCATAAGATAAAAAAAAAAGATTCAAAAGTAAAAAAGACTAGAAATAAAAAATATAAATAATATTTATACTTGAAAATATGATAGATAATTGCTATAGAATTATTATTGTACAGTGCAAATGAGTACACCTAATTTTGAAAGTGAATATTTTATCCATTTCTCAGTGAATATGGGTAATATATATTGATGCATTTGAACAAAACTGATTTATTAAACTGAAACTGATTTATTAAACAGATATATTTATTGAAATAGTATTTTAGACAGAACATCTTTAGAAATGAAAAGATAATGCATTTTAATTTATGCAAAATATTGCAAAAGAAATTACAAACTACTACATTTCAACAAAATTGTATGTTTTTTGTTTCTCTTGATTCTTGAAAATTGTATTTAATATTTTTTCCTAACATAAATTTGGGCAACTAATTTTTTAACCATTGTTGTAAGTTATTTTGTTAGATTGGCTCCAGATTTGGCTTCAGTACTGACTATTCTAATGTATATGCACAAATATAATATTGGAAAGCATCCTATAGAAAATATTAATTAAATTGAGAGAATTGTGGGGGGTGTGCTCATACAGTATATGTTGAGCGTTGGATGTATTACAAAAGAAGTCAGTATTAACAATACCAATAATCTATTAAGTAAATCAGAGAAGTCTATTTGTATTATAAAGTTTATTATCTTGTAACTGAAAAAGTTTAAGCTGTAATTAAATAAATATTTCCAGATTTCTCATAAAAATACAATCAAACCATTCAAAGAAAATGTAAAAAATGAGTTGAATTCATGAATAAAATTAAATGGATAAGTGTGTGTGAATGTTAAATAACTAAATGAGCGCTATGTAAATATGAATATTTAATTTGAAAAACAAAATATTGTCAGAAATGCACAAATTCAGAAGTTAATTAAAAAATAAGAAATATTAAAAAAGTTAAACTTAACTTGAAAATATTATGATAGAGAAATGTACAAAACTTACAGCATTAACAATAATAGTCTATAAATATAAGTAAATCAGATGGGTATGTTTGTATTTTATTATTTTGAAAATGACTTTTTTTTAGCTGTAATTAAATCATTATTTTCATATTGCTTATAAAAATACAAATAAACCATTCCAATAAAATGTTCTAAAAGCAGCTAAATTATTTTTACATTTTAAATGGTATTAGTTTGGACAATCCATATAAACACATCATGAGCACCTACCAGTAGGTAAACAGAATTGCAGCAATCTGAGGTCCAACTGGTCTACTTTTGCGTACCAGTCTGAGTCAAAGTAATAGCAGCCTGAAGAGCCATCCCGCCGTACACACTTGGTCCACAGGCCATCGTATACAGTCACATTTTTGGCATTACGGTTGAAGGTAAGCAGGCGCATGGTTCTCCACTGAGGAATGAGTGTAGCAACGGTCAAACCACCGACCGACAGCATCGCAATAACAAAGGCGAACGCATTGGTGGCGTGAATGTCACGACAAGACATGGCTGAAGTCAGCAAATGATACCTTAAGGGGAAAAGAAAGGACAATTTTAGGCAAGGTTAAAAAGAAACAAAGCTGCTTGTATTGTCAAATATCTAAGATGCCTTTAACTACTTAACTGTTATACATAGTATTTATGTTGTATTGCAAAATGCATTTGTTGTCATTTGGATAGTATACGTTACAGTAAAGATTAGGGGCAGGTTATTTGGGTAGGTTTGACAGTTGGTTGTATACATATAGAGATTAATTATAGCTATAACTACAGGTAAATATTTAATGACAATGCAATCGTCAAATGATTCATTTATTGTTAGTTATATAGTACTTGAAATTTAATTATACAGTGTGTCTTTAAAGTTTGGATAAAAACTGAAAGATTGCATATTAATGCATAGAAATATGAAAGGTGTAAGTTACTGGAAATACTGCAGTAATGTCCAACTAATTACAAGGATAATAAAGTCATTGCATTGCTTAAATATCGAGTGTAGAGCGCATCTATGTAATGTAAAATAAATGCCATTGTGTTTGTGTACAATAGACATATGTAGTGGGGTGCATGCGTGTACAGTATCTCTGAATAGCCTTCACAACAGATGCCAAACAATCGCATCTCTGTCAAGAGTTACCTTGTTGTCTTTATCAGAGACATTACTCATATTTAATTTAACGTTTCTGTACATCATGAACTGCTGGTTATAAGTGGTTTAGTTTACGGTTTGTTTCGAGTCCAGAGGTGGTTTGATTATATTTAACGTTATTCAAGAGAGGGCTGAAGCGCTAACAAGCTAATCTCGGCTAACGGCTAACATTGAAACAACCTGTTGCGCTTTAGTTTCATTCGAAGGGAGACTAATATATCAGACACGAAATAACTAAAGACCGATATATCACACGCTGTACATACCTGATTAATGTCGAGCGTTTAATGAATGTTTAGGTGATGTAGCAGTCATTTTCTCACTTAAATCGGTGGTTTTCTGTCGTTGGGTTCCACCGTGTTGTATGAACACTCTTCTTCTTCGGGAGCGCGCACAACACACTGACCGCAGGCGCGGCAGTACGTCACTTGCGCGATCACGTATGTTTGTCGCATAAAAACGTAACGTAAACAAACCTGAAAGGCGGAATGTTTTGTGTAGTGTAAATCAAATTGGGTCTTGGCACCTTTAACAAACGGTAGTCAACAGGTTTATCTTCTATTTCATTTGTTTTCACAAATTGTCCAGCTTACTTTCTTCACTACAAGCTAGCTGTCACACTTGTGAATGCTTCTGAGAGTGGTTAATATTAGAAACACATAGAAACAACTGTCTTTGATACAGTTTTTTTATATAATATAGAACACGAAAAATATCTATAATTATTGCATTGTGAGCATTTAAACACGTTTTTTTATTAAATGTCATGTTTATTATATAGTTTGAACAATGTGTCTCACCAAGTTTTATGTAGGAGTATCTGACACATAATCATGTAATTCTCTCTCATTCTTTCTCTGTAGGAGGAGGTCCATGTGCACATGGTTTATCAGTCTCATAGTTTGGACACTTCAGAAGATTTCATTTCTCCAGGTATGTTCAGGTTTAAATCATTATATATACTGCATGTTTACGAAGGGCCCGATTTACAGTATGCACAGACAATCTACTTGCAACAAGGAGAAAAAAAAAACTTTTATTTAATGCTATTATGAGTATTCGCTGCACAGTAAAAAGCAGTTACTTTACAAAGTGAGTAAACCCATTGCTCTATAGGTGACAAGTTGATTTTACTTAAAAATGTATAGTATTTCTGTTGCAACTTAGAACTATTAAGTTCCCTTAACTTAATTTTATAACTATGCACACATTTAATTTACTTAATCATTGTAAGGCAGTGTGTATTAATTTTCTTTAAGTAAAGTCAACTAATCACATTTTACTGTGTACACAAAAATAGTTTTTGCTGCATGTTCAAACTACATATTTAAAATGAGCTAAAAGGCACAATTCTTGAGATTCTTTTGAGACAATATAATTGTTTTATGTTTGATCCACTTAAAATTATTAACTTAATCAATTTGTATTGGGACAACATGAATGAATTGGATGGAACCCTTCATTTTTTTTTTACAGTTTACAATGCTAAACACTGAACGACAGTTACTAAATTATAAATTAATAAATAAAACTATTTTAAAATATGTATTTTAATTATAGGTATGCTTAAATTATGGTAAGTCCAGCCCTGCAAGTATACACTACAATTCAGGCCCCATGAGTGGTAAATAATAGTGCAGAATGAGTCGGTTTTATTTTGCGCACACACACTATATTCAGTTCTCCTTACTAATATTTTAGTTTTTTTTTACAGTTCATCTGGCAGAGTCACTTTTTGAAAACCCTCCATTGTTCAGTGCCGCCCACCGGAGAAAAAAGAGACAGGTGTGTGTGTATACAGTCTTAAAACAATCATAGCTCATGGTATGCACATGTATCTGTTAAGTTTTGACTATGAGACGGGATTGCAGTGCTGCTGTAAGTGCTACTCCAGATCTCTGTTTCTTCTGTGTCTTTCTTTTCCTCTCCATCTCCCCTCTTCTCATGAAATATTTAGAGCAGTGCTGTGGACACTTTATGGCACTAATGTATAGATCAGCTTTTTCCTCTGCAGTAAGCATGTTATGCATGCCGCAGCATGATATGAAACATATTCATCACTAGGTTTGGTTCTAAATTAGAATGATCGCTGTTCCAGATAATATAAGAATACAATTAGGTGATATTCAGTTCTGTCTCTCTGAAGCATCTGCAGTCTTTTAATGATGTTTGACAGAATGCTATAATCAAATTAAAATAAAATGTGTGGTAAATGTATCAGCACTAATTTAAACTTAACTGTTGTCAAGCACATTTAAATCATGAGATTAAAAAATATATATATAATAACAATTCAATAATAATAATAATATTAATAATAATAATAATAATAATGGTAATAGTGACTTGTTATGTCACATTCCTAAGTCAGTATCTTGAAATTCAGATTTTTTTTATAATTAAAAATAATTCTAATATTTTTACTAGGGCTACACAGTATATCGTTTCAGCATCAATATCTCAATGTGATCATTCGCTATAGTCACATCGAGAGCATACACAATGTTGAGTCTGGATTATAATGAATAATTTCCAGGTTTTTAAAGCCATTTGACTGTATGAGGATTTTAAAAGCTTAATGTATGTCAGACAGAGTGTGTTGAATCTCTTTTTTATTTTCCAGTTCAGACCATACCTTATTGTTAATTAAAACTTAATATTACTATTATTGAATGAGCTAATTATTACTTAACACAGTTTGCCTATTCTTCGTATCTTCTTCAAAACTGCATGAAAAATCATTCATGGAAAAGGATTCCATAATTGGAGTTAGATCCAGAATCATTAAATCCCTTTTGAATGCCATTCCTTATTATATCAGAACTCATCTGAGCCTTTAAATGACAGGAAAATGATGCACTGTTAAATTCCTCACACAGATATCACGAAATCCACGGAGTGTTGAAGATGAGACCAAGTATGTAGAGCTGATGGTCATAAATGATCATTTGATGGTAAGATGAGTGACAGTCCATTATTGACCTAAGTGTTAAAGGGACAGTTCACCTAAAACTGAAAATGATCATCATTTACTCACCCTTCAGATGTCACAGACCTTTATGAGTTTCTTTCTTCTGTTGAACACAAAACAAAGTGCCTTTAAGGCAAGTCATTTCACTCGACAGCCATCCTTGAAAAGCCTCTCGGACAGTATGCTCGGGCAATCTATCTGAATGGGAAAACATAAAATTCTCTAAAACTGTTTGTCAAGCTTATTATTACATATTTGGAATCACCAATAATATTAAACAACGTAACATGGTTTGCGCTACATTCGTTCTTCCATGGCGGGGAGCCACACCAAAACTCATCTCGCCATAGCTACATTACAGCTTATCATTCAAAACATTAACGTTAAAACGTTAAAATCGCACCAAAACGTATTAAAAGGTAAGTGAATTATAACAGAGCAAACTTTCTTGTAGTAGTCGTAGTTGTGCTGTGCGTTATTTGTTTAACCCTTTGAGGTGACATGCTGACTGACTGACTGACTGACTGACAGGGGTGTGTGAGGCCAGCAAACACGACGTATCTTTCAGTTAAGATGAACACAGTTTCCATAATTATACTCTATAGATAAAGGTCTATGGCTCTGCATACAATGACAGTTATCTTGCTGGAGTTTATGGCTGTTTCACTTTACTTCAGGACGCATTAATGCCACTCTGTAGGTCTATTGGAGACATTCATTAATATTCCTAGCAAATCTAATAAATGTTAAAGACATACTTGTTACGTAAATGCACTAAATCGCATTTCAGCAGTGTTTATTTCAGAGCGCATAAGAAAATCTGCACTTGAGCTGGGTATATTTAAGGGGGCGTGCACGAACAGAGTAAATCAGCACGCAAGCAATGAGATTCACATGCTTGTATTACATAAATGCGATCTCGACTTGTCATACTGCGCTCACAACATTTGTCATTGAAATAACACCATTGGTAGTCAGTAGATTGGTGTAAAGGGCCTGCCGCCACAGCTGGAAAAAATCCTAGAAGAAACACTGACATAAGTTTAATTTTCAAACGTTAGAATCAAACAAAATCAGCATTTTTTCAGGTTGCCCTAGCTAATGCGCTTGCACACTTGAAAGGAATGAGATCACGACACCAACCTTATTTATGGCTGTGTTGGACATTATCCTCTGAGTAATACTTCGTCTGATCGTGCTGGTCTTCAAATGTATTCCACAACCTGGTCTTGATGGCGAATCTCCTCCAGAAATGACAGCGACTCTATGTTTACAAGTTTGTGGGCATTTGAGTAGTTGTTGCTGTAATGTGATGTGCGTTTGACAGTATAGACTGTACCTTGCGTTTGTTTCATACAGATTACAAAAGCAAAAAAAAAAATTTTTGTATTTAATGATGACTAGTTCATTTAATTTTAAGCTTTATTGTGATATATATTTATTATGTCTGTGAAGCAAGTATTCACTGAGATTCCAGTATGTTTGTTGACCACAAAAACGTAAAAGCACACATCTGGTCCAAGCTTCTCCCCCGGAGAAACGTTAGTCTATAGCAGGGGTGTCATACTCAATTCCTGGAGGGCCGAAGCCCTGCACAGTTTAGTTCCAACCCTGCTCCAACACACTTACCTGTAGGTTTCAAACAAGCCTGAAGGACTCAATTAGTTTGATCAGGTGTGTTTAATTAGGGTTGGAACTAAACTGTGCAGAGCTGCGGCCCTTTTGGAACTGAGTTTGACACCTGTGGTCTATAGTGATCGATGATTGGCTCCTATACTAGTAGGCGGGGCTTCCTTCGCCAGAGCATTACACTTTTCCCCATTCAAAACTATATGAGTGACATGTCTTGTGTATTTTACAGTCTTTCGACAAAAGGAGATTTTGTGAAAAATGCTGAAAGCCTGTAACTATTGATTTCCATAGTACTTGTTTTTCCTACTTTATAAATCAATGTCTACAGATTTCTAACACTCTTCAAAATATCTTCTTTTGTATTTAACAAAAACTCGTAAAAGTTTGAAACCACTCGAGTGTGAGTAAATAATGAATACATTTTCACTTTTGGGTGAATTTTTTATATAAGATTTTTGTCTTTATGCCTGCAATTTGTTCACATTATTATGCATTTTCTCCAGTACAAGAAACATCGGCTTTCCGTTGGACAAACAAACAACTACGCCAAATCTGTTGTAAATATGGCTGATCTGGTAAGTAGCTCACACATTATCATATACTATAATTCAAAATGTACACTACCTGACAAAAGTATTGTTGTCTATCAAAGTTTTAGAATCAACAAATAATAACTTCACTTCTAGTTGATCATTTGGAAAAGAGGTAGAAGATAGATTTTTCCAGTGAATCATCTGTTGAACTGGATTTTAATCATCACAAATACTGCAGAAGACCTATTGGAACCTGCATAGACCCAAGATTCTCAAAAAAGTCAGTCATGTTTGGTAAAGGAAAAACCATAGTTTTGGGTTTACATTCAGTATGAGGGCATGCGGGAGAACTGCAGAGTGGATGGCAACATCAACAGCTTGAGGCATCAAGACATTTGTGCTGTCCATTACATAACAAATCACAGGAGAGGGCAAATTCTTCTGCAGGACAGCGCTCCTTCTCATACTTCAGCCTCCACATCAAAGTTCCTGAAAGCAAGGTCAAGGTGCTCCAGGATTGGCCAACCCAGTCACCAGAAATGAACATTATTGAGCATGTCTGGGGTAAGCTGAAGAAGGAGGCGTTGAAGATGAATCCAAAGTATCTTGATGAACTCTGGGAGTCCTGCATGAACACTGTCTTTGCCAGATGACTTTATTAATAAGTTATTTGAGTCATTGCAGAGATGTATGGATGCAGTCCTCCAAGCTGATGGGAGTCATACACAATATTGATTCTTTTTCCTCTGCAACATGACTTTATATTCTATGTTGTATATTTTTTCTGTTCAGTGACAAGACTTATGTCTAAGCAAATTCAGATATTACTGTCCTAATTATTTATTCATTCATTTTCTTGTCGGCTTAGTCCCTTTATTAATCGGGGTCACCACAGCGGAAATGAACTGCCAACTTATTCAGCACATTTTTACATAGTGGATGCCCTTCCAGCCGCAACCCATCTCTGAGAAACATTTACACACACACACACACACACACACACTCATACACTATGGACATTTTAGCCTACCCAATTCACCTGTACCGCATGTCTTTGGTTTGTGGGGGAATCCGGAGCACTCGGAGGAAACCCCACACGAACATAGGAAAAACAAGCAAACTCCACACAGAAATGCCAACTGAGCCGAGGTTCAAACCAGCGAGCCAGCGACCTTCTTGCTGTGAGGCGACAGCACTACCTACTGCGCCACTGCTCTGTCCTAATTAAATAGTTTAAAATCAAGGAATGATCATATTTTATTTTGGTAAAATGAGCATAATCTAGAAGCCTTTGCCTTTCATATAAGCCACTTCTGATACCAAATGATCAACTAGAAGTGAAATTATTATTTGTTGATTCTAAAACTTTGATAGACAACAAAACTTTTGTCAGGTAGTCTATTGTTTTACATGCATTGATAGTATTATAAATGCAGAAGTCTGTTTCTCATCCGTTTCTCAAGACAAATAGACTCTCTGCCGTCTGCCATCATGTCATGAGCTGTTTTATCGGCTTGTTTGTCAGTCTGTCTGCCCGCCCATGACAGCCACATAAACCTCCCTCCATCGTTCTGTCTCTGTGAAAGACATTTGGCATTTGGCTTCTTCAGCCTCTTGTACGATGTGTCAAAATGAGCTCCAGAATGAACAACAAAAACACATTCATCATTCTGCAGGCGTCACATGTGTTCTTTGGGGGTTAGGACTGCATGGAAGAAATCCGCCTGTTGTTAATAAACACTTTCTGTTTGTATCTTTAGTATTTCAAGGAGCAACTCAACACTAGGATTGTCTTGGTTGCCATGGAAACGTGGGCAGCGGACAACAGGTTTAACATCAACGACGACCCCATGGTGACCTTACGGGAGTTTATGAAGTACAGGAGAGACTTTATTAAAGAAAAATGTGACTCCGTTCATCTTTTCTCGTAAGTTACAAACAAAGTAGGGTCGTCACGATACTAGAAATTGTTATTAATCGTTACTGAAATTTTTAAAAACGTCCATTTGCCGATAACATTTGAGCGTTGTGTTTACAGGCTCAACAGAAATGACTGTAATTGGCCGTGAAGGTCATTAGTTGATTGAACTCACCTCTGTTTACTGAGTGTACACGCAGATACAGCAACGCTGAAGCTTTTCAAAGTCACTTCGATCAGCTGGTTTGTCTATAAGCTGACATACGAATGATCTGATGATGAATCGTGGCTTTAAGTGTCGCTATATCTGTTGTTACAAGCAGTAAACAGCGGTGAGTTCGGTGAACTGATGACCTTCACGGCCAATTACAGTCATTTCTGTTGAGCCTGTAAACACAATGGCAAATCAGCACTGTTTAAGAACGTGCTCAGTAGCGCTTAAATGTTCAAGGGAAACGGACGTTTTTAAAATTTAAGTACCGATTGGTATCGAATTCCAGTATCGTAACAACTCTAAAATATAGCACACAAATGTGCAGCAGCTTTATGATAGTTTGAAAAGGTGTTTCTGATGAACTTTCTCTCTGCTTCCAGGGGCAACCGTTTCCATAGCAACTGGGGCGGAGCCTCATATATGGGTGGAGTCTGTTCTCTCACTAAAGGAGGCGGAGTCAATGAGGTTTGTGATTGTAGAAAACAGTTTTAACAAGGGATGTAACAGATCACGGGTTGATCCATGATTCGTATGGATTACAACCCACGATGTGGAACACACGTGACTCACGGATTAATAATTTTTTTTTTACTTGAAGATTAATCCTAAATTTGTAACGATCACAGAGACATCGCCTCTCGCATCATTCAAATCACATGTATAAAGGACAGTTAAAGTATGGATATGTATTTATAAAGCATTTAGGCTTTCCTCTAGAATATAATGATGACGGAAGAAGTTATGGTAGTTTATTCGGGATGTGCTGGGTTTCTTAGGTTATTAAAGATGTTTTCTGTCACTACTTGTTTAGTTTGCATTAAAGCACTCAGTGAAAGCTGCACAAATAATCATTAAAAGATCAGGATCTCAACACCCACACAACATAAATTATAGATGATGGTGATTTGCATATGTTTATTAATCATTCGAATTGCTGCATTCAAGTCTGTGTTTGAAAAACTCAAAAATCTAGAAAGAGATTCAGGCTGTTTCTCAACTTCAAGAACGCAGAGAACAGACTTGCGGTCTTGTGAAGACCAGTCTTCCCGGTCACCTAGGAAGATCAAACTCAGGTGACCGCGAGAACAGACAACGCATCCTGTGAGAAATTAAATGCTGCATTTTTCCTGATGGTCACATGATCTTCAAGCATTGTTAACAAGAAAATTGTTTAAACATTACAGCAGTCATACAACAATTTGTTGTTTTTTCCCATTTTCAATATATATATAAGTGCACAAAGACCTTACGAATATACTTGCACAATACAAATAAAACATATTTTAACATGAATTTCAGAATTCTTCAAGTGTTTATGCCTTCATAAAGATTTTCATGGTAATGTTCATATTCACAGTCTCACTTTAGGTTACTCCTGAGATAAATAGGTTGTATCTCTGAACTTTAATAATAAAGCTATTTAAAATGCTGCGCTTCCCACCTCCTTTATTCAGTCGCAATAACTTCTGGGACTTATAGAGGGAGTTCAGTGCTCAAGTCTTCATCGATGCGTCCTTGATACCAAGAACACATCCAGGAACTTTCACCATCCTCCGTTCTTGCAGTCTTGAGTTTTGGAACTGAACTTTGATGGTTGAGGATGGGGTTCTACAAGAACACAAGGACACAAGATTGCTAAAGAACGCAGTCTTTAGTCTTTTGAGTTGATTAAGAAGTTACAAACAGTCAAACAACACGGAAGTACTGGGGTAAAAGTTTATAGTTTAGATAAAACCACTGATGTTTATGTTAAAGATTAAAATTACCATCATATGAATTTAACTTGATGTTTAAAAATGAAAGTTTTAGGCAGCAAATTACATTATTTTACCAATAGGTATTGAATATTTTACCATTTATTTTTATTTAGCTGATTACTACTTCATTTTATTTTTGATAAAAGTACAGGTTGTAAGTTCTGTTTGTTAAAACCAAAAGTTTCTTAAAGTGCTGTTTATGTAATAGATGGAAAGCAAATGACATTTGTTTCCGCCCCTTTTTGACTGATCCGAAAAATGGTCCGATCCGTGACTAAAAAACCATAATGTGATCCAAACCGTGAGATTTGTGATCCGTTACATCACTGCTTTTAACTGAATGAAATGATTCTTTTTGTCAGTCTCTAAGCTTTGATCTGTTTGTTTTAATTATTAGTATGGAAAGGAAATGGCCATAACTCTCGCTCAGTCACTGGGACAAAACATTGGCATCTTTTCTGATAAGAAACGCATTTTAAATGGTGAGTGCTCTTGTTTGTTATTATGACTGTAATCCTTTTAACATGTGTACTTTGGCTCATGCATACAGACTCTCACATTTTGTCACTGTAATCTGTCTTTCCCACACAGGGGAGTGCAAGTGTGAAGATAAATGGTCTGGTTGCATAATGGATGATGTTGGGTAAGTTTCTAATAAAGCAGATTTCCCAGATCTCCTAACACGCAAACACACTCATAGATAAGTATTAGTCTTGAAATACGTATTAGTCTTACTCAAACCGCCTGTCATGCTTTGTGCCGAGTCTGTGCTCCTGTGGTATGATGCTTAAGTAACATTAAGTCAAATCTAGTCAAAGTAACAGTGATTGAAATGTGTGCCCTTCCCTGATCCATAACACTTTCTGTTACATTAGACGTGGTTAACTAGCAGCTAGTGGGTTGCTGAGATCAATTTATATATTCAAGTCCACTGGGTGGCAGTACACAACAGTTTGGCACCTCAATTCATCTGTGTCAGTGCTTACTCATGTAGTATCCTGTTTTTATTTTCACTGGAGCCTCACAGACTGTTCAAAGGTGGGAAATCAGCATTGCAATCTGTGAAGGTGAATCTCACAAAACTGTCCACAAAAAAACATATTTTGATTCACATTTCACATAGAAATATTATATATTTATATACGGTTAAAGACTCAATTATTAGTCCTCCTCTGAATTTTTTCTTCCAATCATTACCCGAGTGCTGTTTAACATTTTCAACACATTTCTATTATTTCAGTATTTTTATTGATTTTACAATAGTATTACATTTTCCCACAGCACACATATTGAACAACATATTAACACAGTACATACATAGCAACAAACATACTCAAAAACAGGGCAGATAAGAAAGAAAGAAAGAAAGAAAGAAAGAAAGAAAGATAGAAAGATAGAAAGAAAGAAAGAAAGAAAGAATTGGGAAATTGAGGATAAACTTTAACTTAGGATACAGTAACCTAAAAAAAGATAAAAAAGGCTGACAAACCTCAAAAAACTTTTTGTAGAGCCTCTGATGGTGTATGTAAGGTGTTTGCGTTTAAAACGTGATACCACATTTAATATCTAGTGTTTGTGGGATTGTGGGTTTGGTTTTTTCACTTGAGAAGAATCAAGCATTTGGCCATAAATAAAGATAATGAAGCTAATAGGTGCATTTCTGCTGCTACTGCGCCAAAACGTGCACCAAAAATCCATATCTTTGTTACATATACAGTTGAAATCAGAATTAGCCCCCTGTTTATTTTTATCCCCTATTTCTGTTTAACAGAGAGATTTTTCAACACATTTCTGAAAATAATAGTTTTAATAAATCATTTCTAATAACTGATTTATTTTTATCTTTGCCATGATGACAGTAAATAATATTTGACTAGATATTTTTCTATACAGCTTAAAGTGACATTTAAAGGCTTAACTAGGTTAATTAGTTTAACTAGGCAGGTTAGAGTAATAAGGCAAGTTATTGTATAACGATGGTTTGTTCTGTAGACCATTGAAAAAATATAGCTTAAAGGGGCTAATAATATTGACATTAAAATGTTTTAAAATAATGAAAAACTGCTTTTATTCTAGCCGAAATAAAACAAATAAGACTTTCTCCAGAATAAAAAAACATTATCAGACATACTGTAAAAAAATCCTTGCCCTGTTAAACATCATTTGGGAAACATTAAAACATAAATAAATAAATAAATAAATAAAAAATAAAGGGCATCCGCAGAACATATCCCTCACATCTGATGGCTGCTGGATCAGATGAATCTGACCCTGGATACGTTTTTGCCAGCTTGCTCCTAGATAGGTGAAGCCTATGAAGCACCTTGAACACTTGCTAAATTTTCGATTTGGAATTTCCCCAACCGTTGCATAGCCCGGGGTATCAGAGTGAGCACTGAGTCCTACTTGGCCCTACCCTGATCCAATTCAACACATTTTTACACATAATACTTTTAATAACTAGTTTATTTAGTCTTTTGCCATGATGACTGCACATAATATTTTACCAGTTATTTGCAAGTAACTAGTTTCCAGCTTACAGTGCATTTAAAGGCTTAACTAAGTTTGGCTAATTGGGAAAGTCATTGGACAGCAGTGATTTGTTCTGTAGTCAATTAAATTCTTAAAGCTTATGATGACAATTTAAAAATGTTGCAATCGGGAAATTAAAAACAACAATAATTTACCCAGAAAAAGCCAAACCAAAGCAAACACTAGCAGATTATATGGTATAAATACAGCACTACAACATACAAAAAAGAGAGATTGACTTAGAATGCCACTTACCTGTTTTATAATGATTTGATTAGCTGTAATTTAAAACAACACGAAAAGAAAATGCTGAGTTTTTCTCCTTTGAGGGCTTATTATGCGGTCTCTTTCGCCATCTTGTGGCGCAACCATCTTTTCTCTGCTCGGCTTAACAGCCTAGTGGCTGGCGATCTACGAAATCATAAATACTTATAAAATAGGCACTATCCTTATAACAAAACTGCATAGTCGCAATCTAAACAACTACATTCTTGCTTAAAAAGGCCTCAAAAATACACTATGTTGTCCAACAGTTGCAGTATTTGTCAAACTGTAGTGAGTCTATTGATCTGCTGTCTCTCTATGTGGGAGGAGTAATACACAAGCATGAAGAGGCTGCATGAGTGCTGTTATTGCAGAATATCACACGGCTATAATCAGCCAATCAGATTCGAGAACCTAAGAGAACTATTGTATAAATATATCAGCAATATTTCAGAGGAAGGCTAATACTGTTGTGTTCAACTGTGTGTGTGTGTGTGTGTGTATATATATATATATATATATATATATATATATATATATATATATATATATATACACACACACACACACACACACATATGTATATATACATATATACTACTTATTGTAGTGTATGATGTAGTGACTTTAGTTTTAATTTGTAGATTATGCTGCCTTAAATATTTATTTCCATTACTGTAAAATGGTTATAACAGAAAAAATATTATATAAATGTTACGGTTTTCTTTATGCCAGTTTTCCCCCTTTTTGATTGGGGCTAAATCAATGATTTTTGTGAGATTAAACTATGAACTCCTGTGCAAAATCGAAACATGATATTCTCAAAATGTCACGAGAAAGTGTTATCGATCCTTTAAGTCCAATTTTCTCTGTTTGACTCTCCACTGTTGACATTTCACATGTGGACATTGACATTTCACTGTTCATGATTCAGATTCATCCGGTATCTAAATATTCACAAACAGTGTTGATCTAAATAATCCTATTAACAGTACTAGCATAATAATTATCATTTATTCCTAAAGCAGTCAGAAATGTTCACAGTGGTCGTGTGGGAAATGATCAGATTCTTGTGATGCAATATAGGTGTTTGTTCATGTCAAAGTGTGCGTCTGTGTGTGTTGGTTTGTCTTTATCCGTGTGTTTTAATACCTTTTGCGTTTCCCCTTGATCCCGAATGGGACAGCAGGTGAGCAGACGCTTGGCTGTGTCATGCTACTCGCTTGTGTCCTTCTGAATAGCCAGCTGCTGAGTTACTTCAGCTCCTCACTCCATCTAAAAGCATTATGGCCTCAATTTTACTCGGACAAGAGAGAGATTTGGGGGGAAGTGCATTGTGTTGGAACACTCTGCAGTTTCCTATGTGCTCTCTTTAACTTTTGTACGGGTTTTCAATTCGGTCAACAGCTCATAGTGGGACATGTTTTGTTAAGAGGGGATTTTTGGCTCCTCTATGTTTAATGGGGTCATATCATGTATTTTTAGCATCGTATTGTCATTGATAATATTAGCTAAGTTATTAATCTGAGAAGACTCTAATATCTGCTGCAAAGATCTAGGAAGTTTTTGAGGATACAATCAGGTTCAATACCTATATTTACATTAACACCATTAGTTAACCATAATAATAATAATAATAATAATAATAATAATAATAAAAATATAATAATAAAGATTTCACAACAAGCTGTAGTGCTGTTTAATGATAAATTCAGACTTACAAAAAAGTATGTTTATATATATATATATATATATATATATATATATATATATATATATATATATATATATATATATATATATATATATATATATATATATATATATATATTTAACTCATCAGAGTTTAAGTGTTTAAAGCTTTACAGGCTATGTGATAGACTTTTATTAATAAAATTATGTATATTTGGAGCTTTAGTGTTGCCACCTTTCAAATATTGAAATGTTGTTTTTTTACATTTATAATAAAATATTTAAATATAACATAAAATTAAATATAAATATCAATCTATAAAGGCGTCACAGTGGCGCAGTGGGTAGTGCTGTCGCTTCACAACAAGAAGGTCGCTGGTTTGAGCATCAGCTCAGTCAGTTGGCATTTCTGTGTGGAGTTTGCATGTTCTCCCTGTGTTCACATGCGTTTCCTCTGGGTGCTCCAAAGACATGCACTATAGGTGATTTGAATAAACTAACTGTATGTGTACTGTATGTGTGGGTGTGAATGCAAGAGTGTATGGGTGTTTCCCAGTACTCGGTTGTGGCTGGAAGGGCATCCACTGCGTAAAACATATGCTGGATAAGTTGGCGGTTCATTCCACTGTGGTGACCGCTGATTAATAAAGGGACTAAGCCGAAAATAAAATGAATGAATGAATATCAATCTATATGTAAATATATGTATTTTATTATACACTTTATCATACATTTATATGCATATAAATATACAGAATTGCACATGTATTATGTAAATAAACTGTAATCTTGTATAGGATTAGTCACAATCAGTGTTGGGGAAAGTTACTTTTGAAAGTAATGCGTTGAATAGTTGAGTTACTTTTTATAGTAAGTAATGCGTTACATTACTTTTGAGTTACTCTTGTGTTACTTTTTATTACCTTTACTAAGGCTTGATCTATTTCAGAACTATCTTTTACTTCTTTTATTAATTACAGGAGCTCTGCAATCAACAACACACTCTATAACCTTATATACCTTTAAAAACCCATTACTTTAGGATAATGTTATCTGAGAATGTCCTGACCCCAGAGCTCCACATGCTGTATATATAGATTAATGAAAGTTTAAAGAAATGTCTTTACTACTTTTGTACAAATTGTCTTAATTAAA